TTTTTTTTGTGGTTCTCTATTAGTATTTTGAACTGTGGGGTCTCTGTTCCGAAATTTATCATCAGTGTAAATCATTTGATCATAGGAAAAAGCGCCATCTGCAAAATTCAACTCATTTCTTTTTTTGTGGTTCTCTATTAGTATTTTTGGTGTGAGGTCTCTGTTCCGAAATTTANGTGTGTTTCTTTTATGCGAGGTCTCCGTTAATTCAAATTATATCATTATCATGGGCGCAAATTGATCTCAGGAAAGAGCGCCATCTGCAGAATTCAACTCATTTCTTTGTTTGTGGTTCTCTATTAGTTTTTTTGGCGTGAGGTCTCTGTTCCGAAATTTATGATCAGTGTAAATTTGATCACAGGAAAAAGCGCCATCTGCAAAATTCAACTCACTTTTTTTTTGTGGTTCTCTATTAGTATTTTTGGTGTGAGGTCTCTGTTCCGAAATTTACGATCAATGGGAATGGATCGCAGGAAAGAGTGAGAGAAAGTCATCTGAAAAATTAGACTCGTTTGATTTGTGTTTACCTTCAAATTCTATAGACAAAGTTAAGTATTTTTTGGTACTTTTCATAACTCATTGACTACATTTTGTTTCACGGGCTTAAGAAGTGTTCACGGTTAGAGTGTCCTCACTGTACCTTGAGGCCTATTATTCTATGAACAATGATAAGTGCAAAATCGAGGGTCAAAACACGTCCATTCTTTGTACTTAGAACTCTAATGGTAAATTAAGTCAGTGTGGGGTCGACAGTGCCTTCCAATCGATCAGAAATCAGGACAAAAAGTCATAAAAATAAACACAGGAAATAACAACATTTGCATGCAAACTTCGTGTAAAAACACATACCGTTTTTAGTTTGCCTAAAGGTATTGACTCAATCATATCACTTCCTTTTAGTCAGATCCACTAATTACTTAATGTAAAGAATAGTACGTAATCTATCAGATAGGAATTCAATAATGTCTGGATCCTGAATACCGCGTTGTCTTAAAGCAGACAGTTTTCATCAACGTAGCACACAAAGGAAATCAAAAAATCTAAGGATGTGGTTTATTCCCGCAGTTTGTGTTTTTTTCCGTTAATTATGCGGCCAGCTGTTATTAAAACTGATACATTTTACTGTGCATGCGTCCGTATACTGTATCACTTGGCTGGGCATGCGCAAAAAGGACAAGCCATACCACACCTTAAGTCAATCTCTCTTGGTAAAGTGTACAAAATAATAGGCGTTGACCTTTTGTCGAACAAGAACGTGGAAACTGATGCACTGCGCAAACTTTGTGGGATTATCTTTATACCTTGTTAGATGAACATATAATTTAGTTTGAATATTACAAATAACACGATCTAGATATCTTGCTTGAGACTAACTTGAAGGTCATTCTTCTCTCTAGGTAGTCTACCTTCTCTCCTGCATGATAATTCACGTTTCAGAGTAAAATCAATTCACGATTCTGTGGAAAGTATCCTGACATTTCGTCTATATATAACGTTATGCCATTTTTGAACTGTAACATAAGTCTTCGAGAAATTTTCTCTCACTGTGAATCATTTATCATGGTGTATTTATGACCGCATTCTTGCAAACTAGAACCGTGTGTATGCGCGAAGGAAGTTTGCAACAGAGCTATGGCAGCTATCATGGAATTGTTCCATGAAATAAAGGATAAATTAGCTTTTAGATTATAATCCTTTGGACGACTTGTTCAACCTCCTGTGCGTGCATCAAAGTGCTTTACACAGCAGGTATTTGGTATAATCCATTACTATTCTCATATTAATCACTGTCAAAAGATTTCACATGATACTGAGAGGCGCATTAAAATGCCCCCAAAACGGGCCAAACCCCCATGGGGTAGACCCTACATTATTTAAGTTGAACTCTATTTTAGTCCTTCGTAATGAACTTTAGACCATGTTGTTATTGCTGCTGTAATATTGTTGGTAGCTCTATGCAGGAAATGGCTTATGAAAATGATGGGGGATTACCATCAGCAACAGGAAAGCGTCAGTACAATAGTGACACTCTTCAGTAGGTCGAGTCACGGAATGCATTTATTTGGGAAAGCCATTTATAGAACTGTACCTCTGCCATAGAAGAAAATCACTATAGTGAAGAAATGGCTACAATATGTGAGGGTTTGAAGGCCTCAAGAGAGTTAATTCTGTTTTCAATAGTAGCTGCACTTGTTTTATGAACCAACATGATTTTGACTTGAATTAAAGTCGAAATATTGTTGTAAAACCTCTTGCTTCTTAATCCAAAATTTGAATAGTACAAGTCCAATGTTTTCTCTACTTGGACTAGTTTTCATACTATGTTAAGTTATCATGGGATTGGGATATCAAAAATTGTTTACCAAACATCCAGGTAGGCTCAAGTGTTGATTCCACATTATTGGAATATCAAATTTAGCCTATTTATAACCAACCACATTTTATAACGTGTTAACTATTTTTGATGTCCAAAGTTTATAATACTAATTTCATATATGTAACCTTTTTCCAGTTTTGAAAAATCGTGATTTTTTTTTCTCTTCTGCGATGTGGTGCGGTTTGGGTAAGGGGGGCAGGGGTTGTTTTGTCGTGAGATGATCTTAATCAATCGATCGTGAAGTAAATAGATTTTTCTTTCCTAAAAGTTTAAAAAGGATCTAACTTTATGTAAATATGAAAAATATGAATGAATATAAATCAAAATTTCCATTTCCATCCCCATTAAAAAAAAACCGTATCCGAACCAGCTTGGGCCGTAACTACCATGACACAAGCGAGGCGCTACGTGACTTGGGTTGACTCGTGTATTATTTTCACGTGTCGTTTTGCGAACGAACTACTAAGTTATATAATCAGGCACCCTGGTTGGTAACTTGCAATTTAGTATGGCACAGTAGGGCTTGTTCCTAAATAAGAGTTGCGTGACAGCAATCTGTTGAGAACACAATCGGGGATGGGTACCTCCTTGTGAAGTAACACTATCACTCGAGCTAGAACTAGGCCAGGCCTAGAGCTACGACTGCAGGGACCCATTTTTGTTATAATATGCGTATCGTATAAAGGTTCAGCGGCTCGAATGTATATTATATAGTATCCCGATAAAACAGGCAGTCTCGTCCTATCATCATATCAAGTGTTTTATAAAGAGGGAAAGGGAAGCGCTCACGTCACGATCAGAGTAAAAACGCCAGGAGTTCATGCAGTTTCTGTACTCGCAAAGGTAGCGCCTATAAGTGCGCACGCAGGGATCATTACATTCTATAATGTACAAATAAAGGAAAATGTCCCCAGGCGCTTGGATATAACTGAGTTATTGTTATAAGCTTTTAACTTAAAAGTGACTTTTTATCGAAATACAGATAACATAATCTGCATGTTTGCTGTTTTGTTTCTGCGCTAAAGCCTGATTTTAATCTTCTAAAGTAATTAAACTTTTCAGTATGATCTGAAGATCTAAAATATCCGTTGTAGTTAAGGCATCAAGGTTATCGCCGTTATCAACTCCTATCAGCGCCAAAGATCCTGCAAGAAAAGTGTTATTAGTGTTTATGGATACTTCAGATGTAAGAGTTCTGCAGACAAGTGGCGCGTGCGGCTGAGATATCATCATACTCACTTAGCTAACTTTTGTCTTATCGAGGATAATGACTTAGGGAAAGTTTTATTACGCCCTCAGTCTTGCCTCACACTTAATTTGGTACATTAGTTGATAATTTGTTATCTCCTTATGTGATATAAAAGAGGATAGCAGAAATTAGTGTGTTCTTGGCTGCATATTTTTGGCTGTGGAAGTGGTTCGGTTTTATTTATCTTTACGACTATCTAAGATGATTCCGCTCTACAGATAGCGAAGAGAATGCTCGTTTTTATACTCAATAGTTTCTCCTAAGGCTGTATATGCCTTGCAGTCGATTTATCTTACTTTTATCGTGTTACGGCTGCTACTCACTATGTTGCAGTCTCTTTGCAGAAGTTAGTGTCATTCACACCGTCCCCGCTCAGTCTATCTTGATAGGAAGAAGACGAAATGGAATGCGTTGCTCCAATAAACAGACGGTAGTGGGGAGGGCAGTGTATGACCAACAGTGATAGCGTTTGCAAAGGAGGCTTGTCACGTTGCTAATTAACGAAATCTTGACCCGCGATTGCGAAGTTATGCGATGATGATAATGATGATTGAGTTATTCTGATAACGGTGATAATGATGATACTGATTAAAGAACTCTCGATTTCAGATTATGTGATGGTAGCAGGCAACCCGAACCGGCTGGGCTTCCTTTGCAGTAAGGACTTCCACCACAGGAAGACCAAAGGTATGAGTTGACAGCGACGGATTCTAATTGATGATGATGATGATTAGCAAGACAATAATGATATTAATGATGTTTATAATGAAAATTTTTATTTTAATAATTATAACCGTCATCTGAAATAGTTGTATGCGATAAATGGCTTGATCACTTGGCAATCTTGATAGTGATAAATAATCATCAGACTTCTTGATTGTCATTGTCGTATTGGCTTGATAAAGAAGATTATGACTTTCTTTATTTCATCATATTTTCCTGGAATCGTAAAGTTTTTCGCTCAATATCTTTGTATTTATGAATCCATATATGGGAAAGTTGGTCGACACAGGGATACCTATTAAGATTGGGAGATAACTCTTCAAGTAATGTGCGCAGCTAGGAAAAAATGTTCATGTAGACGTTGTTATAATGCTGAATGATAACGGTCTTTTTAGAGTCTATAAATCATTGAATTGAATAGGTCTCAGATTGGAATTTGTAATAACAGTTTAGAAAGATCATCTTGAAATTTTTGCCATTAAATTATCCCCACAATACCAATGGCTTTCGACCATTTTCTTACTCAACGTACATTGAAATGGTTGTATACATTGTAGTGGACGAGATCTTAAATATTAACTCGATTTATAATATTTTTAGGTCAATGAAGTCATGAATGGATGGATGGATTAAAAGAACGAGACGCAAAGACATCGTATATAAGGTGAGTTTATTAGACTCGTTTTCAATAAAAAAATTTATTCTATCCCATGCAATAGCACATAATAACGTGTTTGTTGACAAGAGATGGTCCCAATGTATCTCTCAAACCATTCCTAGATCTATTATTACATTCAAAAGCGCGTAATTGTGTTTGTTAACAAGATACGGTGTTTCAATGTATCTCTTATAAAACAAACTACTGAATCATCACTGTGATGCTGTATCTTAAACTATAAAGTACTATTATATAAGAGAACAATCGTAGCACATTATATAAAGGGTTAATTTGCACTATCAGATCACGTGACACCAAGCACTTCATATAATTCAAATTACAAGTCATCAACTCTTAGATGAACATTTGTAGTTTTAATGATGTTAGATTGCATGTGAAATTCGCTGCTTGTTTGCCGTACAACCTAACAGTGCAAATTTACTTTTCTTTAGCTCTCCCACGTGACCAGACCACGTGATGTATTAACCCAAACACTGTCTTGTGTGCGACAACTTTTTTCTTAGATTTTTTAATCCTATCAATTTTTAGATTAAAATCGAGATATTCAAAGCTTTAAAAAGGCAACTTCTACCAGAGTTGAGATTGGGATTCCTGTTGTCAAGAGCACAGGAAGCCTGGATAACTCTGGCTTGATAAGCCCTGATACAATGGGCTTGAAATAATTTGAGCGATGAAAATAGAGCTTTACATGATATACAAAATATTTACAACCTGCTTTCCCCGCAAGCAATGTCTATTTAAGTAACCCAGAACCTTATCTTTACTCCCCGGATTGATAAATGTGGTACAAAAACAACTTTGCGCAATTGTTTTTGACTCTTTTAGAAGGCTAATTCTTGGTGCGTCGCAAACTAGTCGTAAAATAAGTCTAAGGAATGAAGTATTGTCTAATTACAGATACAATAACCATCCTCAATGTCGTTTTAGCCAATTTCTCTGAAACTAATAGTTTTTCCACGTCCAGCGCTGTTAGGCATCCGGAATTCAAGATTCCTTCCTTTAACCGAAATGCAGCACCAAGAAAAGCTCTTTTTAAGCATGCGCACTATACGCTGTCCGCTGGCTATTGCATTGCCTATTACATGCAGACATCTAGTAGTTAAATATGTTAACAGTTAAATAGTTACACACAGAATTCTAGGGAAGAATGTTCTTATTATATAACAATTAAGCACTGAAATGACGAAATAGCGAAGGAAAAACAACAAAGAAAAGAAAATCATTTTGTTTTAGTTACAAATAAAAAAATTCAAATTATATACATCTATAGAGCGTGATTCGAACTGCCTTCAAATGTTGTATGCCAGCGACCTGCGTCACCAATGAAGCTCACAACTATTTTCGTGAAACAATGTCCTAGAAAACTTCATTGGAGAGAGGAGTAGGCAAAATGTGTTCTAATTTGTGAATTGATATTTTTTATACTATGCATATTTGCATTTCAATAAGCCATAGTTAACAAAGCGCTTTTTCTATTTCAAAAAGGCAATTTTACAAACCCAATTTTGCCACATTATTATAAACACATATAGTAAAAATAAATAAATCCTTATGAGTTACGCTAACAAAAATACCGAACGCATAGAGTAGTTTTAAAAAGATTGTCCTTGAGAAAGTTCAAATCAGTTCAACGAAGATAATGACATTTTCCATTCGAAAATTTTGTAAATAAATTAATTTTGTTTCATTCAAATTTTGCGTTCTTTTGATTTGCATTTTTTTTTTTACTGCTTCTTCGAACTTTCTAACAACAAGCTTTTTTAATTATAGGTTTATTTTTGCGTACTTAATGTACTAGTGATTTGTGTAGTCGGAAGAAGAGTTGATGAAGCCATCTTGCGAGTTTTTTTCCGGGATGATTTCTTTGGTACCTTTTTAGCTGCTGTTTTTCGACTGTTCTTTTTGGATGCCTTCTTTCTTAGTTTTCTTAATTTCCTTGCTTGCTTTCTTCTCTTTTGTTTACGCCATTTGATAAACCGTCTCCATTCCCTCCACGTCTTTACGGTGATGCAAACAGCGTATTCCGAGTCTGATGAGTCCAGATTTATTTTGCCATTTTTCATGAACTTGCGCCCACGGTACAAGCGAAGGTGTTTCAGTGGTCTTTCAATGAACTGTACTGCTTTCATACCGCTGCGTGTCTTATTGCAGGCGCGTTGTTTACCGCGTCGGTTAAACGCAACGTAAAGATTGCTTTTTTGGACGGATGTGAATTCCGTGAAGGCATTTTCCGCGAAGTGTTCTCGAAATATGCAGTTTTGTCTGCCGCGACCACGAACCTAATGGAGAAAACATATTACAGATATAAGTCATATATAATAATTATACATAGTAAAAGTCGGAATATACGTGAAGACGTTTCGGGAAGGACCAGGCCTAGCTCTTCCGCAGGTAACAGATATCAGCGGAGGAGGACGTTTATGAAACTAATGAGAACTTTACAATATAATATATTTTTTCGTATTATTAAAATCGTTCATCCCACAATTTCTGTATCCATTGCCTTCCATTCTTTCAACATAGTTTATCTAAATAATTCATCTATGTATTTTCTATTAGGCAACACAAGGGAATCTTAAACAACAATGATTTCGTTAAAAAGGCATCTTTTTGGCCGGAAACGTCCACGTGGAATAAAACCTCTAAAAACCGAAAGACTTCCTGTTATGCATTACAGAAATTCAGCAAAACGTTTTTTATTAAAAACAACGATGTTTGTATGAATTTTCTGTCCGTAATTTTTGGCATCTTGAAGTATGATTTTAGGCGTTATATAGAAAAATGGTTTTGTATAGCGTTCAAAGAAGCTAACTTGCCGTCATTATTACACTTTTCTTCTTACAACAAAAATACGTTTCTTTGAAAACTTCGGTGACAGTAATTTTTGACAGTAATTTTTAGCGGGATCTTTGAACTGTAATTAGAAGGAGTATAACGACGTGCTATTGTTTAGCTAAACTACACAACTCCATTTTTCTACTTCTTACGTAATTTTTTGCAGGTAATTTCGGTATCTTTGAGGTGAAATCAGAAGTTGTTTAACAAAGCGCTTTTTGTATTTAGCTCAAAGAACGTACCACGCCATCTTGTTACATTTCTAATAAACAATGGTAAACTTTTTTGAAGTTTGAATAGATTTTTTAAAACGAGGATATTACTAATTTTCTGTCAGTAATTTCGGCATCTTTGTGGTGTAATTAGAAAATGTATAATAAAGCAAGTTTGTGTTAACCATTATACTTTTTTTACTTAAACAAAAAACTACCATAATAGTAATTTTCTATTTTATTCTGCGCGGTATGTTTGAAGTATAATTAGTGTATGTTTTATAAAGTGCCTTTATGTTTACTCAAAAACCGTGCCCCGCCAACTTATTGTTGCTTTTCTACTTTAAAACAAAAAAGTTTTGTCAGGAATAACTATATAAGTAATTTTTTGTTATTTCGCGCGGAATCTTTGAAGTGTAATTAGAACGTGTATTAAACTAAGTGCCATTGTATTACATTCAAAGACCGTACCACACCAAGTTATTGTCCTATTTTCTACTTATGTAGTTAACGAGGAGTAAGGCGGGTCGAGGGTAGGTCAAAGAGAACACCGCGCGTCCCGAAAAAGGACAACTGTTTATATATTCAAATGTCGTATTTCAAGGCCAAAGATTAATAAGAATGTAGCTATACTATTAACGGTTACTGCCTGATAGTTTTGCGCTGATTATTACGTCTAAAACTAATCTTAAACCATAGTAAACTGAACTAAAAAAAACAACAACATTGCATTGACTTCTACCTCTTTTTTCCTTTATTATCCAAGGTTTTTTATATATCATGTACTGACTGTTTTATTTTAACTTTTTAATAAGAAATTTATGTTCTGATTTGTAAATCACTGGAAAGAAATCGCGCACTTTAAAAGGTTGTAAATTTGATGTAAATCATTTAACCTTTAAAGTGCGGGTTTTTTTCCAGTGAATATTTCTAATTTCCTCAGTAGACTTTTCCAAAAGATAAGATACCGTCATAGACAATAGTGTTTTGTGACCATTAACAATATCGACTGGCCATTTTATCGTATTTTAACGGTAAGACAACGTGTGTATTTGATTTTTCTCACTGAATATCGACTGAGCCGCAAAGAAATAAACTGTTACGTGAATGAATGACGGAAACGCAATGATCTTGCAAATCTTAGCTGATCCGCGTTTAATTTACACGTCATTAAGAAGCATGATAGCGGTCGTTATCACTCTTGATTTCGTTGCGTAAGGACTCCGACAAACCGCAGCGACACGCGTAAAATGTACTGTAACTATTTTCGTGCGTATCCATAACTTCAAACGTATCCAAACGTAGAAAGCACTGCACTACTTTCATGGATACATCAATCATTCCGTCACGCTAGCATGGTTACGTATGGAAATCCTTGACCCGTAACCAGACGTATGTGATATTACGCTAGTTTGGGTGCGCATCATTACGTACCGTGCGCAGGCCGTGAAGTTGTTTGCGCCTAAACTAGCCAACTGCCAACGTTAAAATTAAGAGCTACCTAGAAATACCTCAGCAAAATTGTAATCGAGTTTACAGCCATGGAAACTGTATAAAGAATAGTGAAATATGGAAAAATCAATCGGAAAAATGCACAACTTGAGTTCAACGAGGTTCGCACATATAGGTGGTGGAACACGTTTATAACATCAAGCTTTCCATATCATTCAGATTTGCTTTTCTTTTCTTCATTTATACACATTCCATTCCTTGTTGCTCGTTTGTTTTCGTCCTACCTTCATAAATTGTATAATTACTGTATTTACGAAATGAAATTTCAGAGAAAACATGCAAAACTTAAATTTGTCGCGATTTTTGCTTAAATTATTGGAAGCCTGATTCTAAATCAATGTTATGGTTACGATTATCATGCGATCGGCTTTCTCATCTCAGTGGATTGTTATATTTTTATTGACTATATTTTAAATTTTCATAAGAATATTCTATATTGCCTGGGATTTTGTGAAAGTGCTGCGACTGATTGGGTTGTAATGTCTTTCTCTTCAGCAAAAATCCATCAAATTTTAGACATAAACACGATAATAATTACTTAGATGTCTTTATCCTATTATCTTAATTACAGAGAAAAACCCAACATGACCTAAAATTTAGTCATCAAAACAAATATCGAGGCATATATCAATTTTTCACACGAAAAGCTAACTATGCCTTATTTGGAGTAGGTTCGATTGAGGCCTTACTGCTGTATGATAGTAAAAACGTTTAAGATTTCACCGCCTAAAGCTTCATTAGAGACTGACTATACTGCCGTATTTGTTCAACTCAGTCATAAAGTTTGCTCTCCCATTTCGCTTCAGATATAATCTTTATGACCTAAAAGAACGTCATAACTTAAATGTAGTATGGAAACATAACTCTACCTAATTTCTTATAAAACACTGGAGTCTTATTCTTATGATTTGAGGTTAATTTCTTCTTTTTGAAAAAGTGAAAGTAATCTATCGCATTTTTTTTGCGTAACAATCTTTATGGCCTGAAATATCACCATCAATTTAATAACATTGTGCTGTGATCGTTTCGTAAATCCGTGAAATACATGTAGCGTACTACACTTTATTTTGCACGTTTTTTGTCTTTTCGAGGTATACCACACATTATAATAGGACAGTTACATTTTGTTTCACGGGTTTAAGAAAAAAAAGGTAAAATAAAACGAAACAAAATAAATCAACTTTAAAAAACGTGTTTTTCTTTCAAAAAAGACAAAGTCTATGCTACTGCATTTCTTTACATATACATACTTTATGACCTAAAATATCGTCATCAATTAGTAACCAATCAGGGTTACGAAATATAATTAACTTTTATTTTTCTCAAAAAAAGTCACTACAGATTGCCATCGCATTTCTTTACCGACACACATTCTCCATGACCTAAAATCTCGTCATCAATTAGTAAGCAAATAAAACCCCAGTACATTATCTCCTGAATTCCTACTGACATTTTTTCATTGAAAGAAAAACAACCCCTTAGCATTCCACTAGGTATGCGTGTAGGGGTGGGACCCGGGGTGCTTGACAATATGTGGCTTTAAGCACGGGAGATCAATTCCGGATTATTTTGCACGTATTTTGAATGTTCTTAGCTACAGACCTCCTAGCTAGTCCAGCCAGTACGCTTAGCACAGAATACAAAGCACTTGTCAAATCGAAAACACGTCTGTCTTTGTATACGCACTATTCAAAGAAGACATTTACAAAATACGCTTTCGCATTGACAAAGGAGTGATATTGAAAACGTTGTCAAATTGAAGAGGCTTGTTCTTCTTCTTTATAAACTCGAGTGTATAGCTATATTGAAAATGCCTCTAAGTACATTCGGTCCTTGGGAGGTCGTATGCATTCGAACGTTAGTCGTTTTTGGTAGGATTTTTTCGGGAGAAGCGAGATTGCATCGTATTTACATTAAAAATGCTGAATCATTTGCTTGTCCCGAATAGGTAACACAAGAAAGACGTTTTGAGTTAAAGTGGCTTACAGACTTAGCGCGGATTTCCGTTTAGAATAAAATGGTTACTTGTTAGTAACTACGTGTTTAAATGTTCTACCCATCGCAGTGAACATGATTTCATTTCCGAAATTATACAACAACCCTTTTAAACTTTCAAATAAGGTACAATATTGTACTTAATTGAGCTCAAACAACAATAATTTATCATTTCTTGTCTCTAAGTCTGTTTTAAACAGATCAGTACTTCAGTAAAGCTCTCCCTACGTCAAACATAACTTTAACTGACTTATTTAAAATGGTATTTTGCACTTACCCTCGCTCGCAGTCGCTGTCTTTTGTCAATGCATAAATAGAAGTTAGTAGCGGAGCCTCGGATTCTTACTCTTCCAAAACTGTCCGACTCGATAATAAGTTTAGCTGTAAACAAAAAAATATAGTTTATATAAGATTGAATAGTTAACATAAGCTTGCATTAAGAGCGGAGAGAAATGGTAAGGAAGAACGCGGAAAAATTCACGTCCCAAGTCGGAATTTCAGCCCACACGAAACTTGTGACATTAATTAGTATGTAAGTGTCTTTTGTCTTGTACTTATGAACAAATTGTCATTTAAACATATTTTTGAGAACTTAATTTCTAAGAATATCGTTCTAAGCTTGATCTATATAAGAAATATATATAGAAAATAGTTGATCAGTAGAATAATAATATACAAGACACCAACATTTGTGTCTTGATGGCTCTTTTTTAATGAACGCGTTTCGGATGATCTGTGGATACGACAAAACGTTTAATCCAAGGCAAGCTAATGTACACGATGAATTAAAAGTCTATCAAAGCTATGGACTTAACTCAGTAAGGAAGTGCCGGAAAATTTGCCGAAAGGACAAGTTAAGAATCTAGATCTCATATATTTCGTAGCAACAAGTAAATCGAAATGAATGTGACTAAAAAATTCTTCTCTTGGCAGAACTCATCAGTTCTGCTTTTAGTCAGAACGGATAATAAACTTTGGGCTAAAAATCGATGAAATATGCGTTTTGTGGTCCGTAGCTAGTGTGCGTTTACTAAGATAGATGGTGGTTTGCTAACAAATTGTGCAAATTAGTACATAATAATTTGTCTCCTATTTTTGTATAAGTGCAATTTTTCCAAGGTCACTGGGAAAAGCAATGGCCTCCATGCGTAAAAAGTACTGAAAAATCTTGTAAAATGTTGTAAAATTAAGGATCAGTACCCATTCCCAATCTATACAATCAGGATTCCCAATGTTTGTAATTATAACGTCATTTTTGAGCTCGCTGCGTGATGCAGTTCCAACTGTGTTGTAAGGTTATTGGTATTGTATTAAAACATGCTGTTATAAGTATTACAAAACTGAGATATATGACGAAGACCACAAATAATATACAAATATAGTATAACAGATAACGACCGAGTCTTGCGGATAACGATCAAAATTTTGCGTATAATAAGAATGTTAAAAAAGGAAAACAATCTTTGTAAATAACACGAACAATGTGGAATTCAACTGTTCTTATGAAGGAAATTTCACCCAAAAATTCAAAAAGAGGCAAAGAACTTTCGCTTTTAAGAGTCATTGAATTACACGATAGTCTGTATGCATATTGCAATTTCGCTCTTTCTGTTGAAATGCAAGATCGGTGGTGAAATTCAACGTCTAAACTGTTCTTGCTAAGGGGAAGTTTTAGCTGAAATGTCATTCAAAATGAAAAGAAAGAAAGAAATAGAATTAAGACGAAATATCAAAAAAAAGTAAAATGTATGTGCACCACTTGCATAAATTATTTTTTCATGAAAAGATTTTTCTTCCATATTTTGGTGGAATTGATATTTTTGCATCATCTAACGTAACAGCAGATTTAGCAAGATAATATAGCAGAATTGCAGGGTCATAATTAATACTTTTGAAGTTGTTTACTATTCGCGTGCTTTGCAGCTAGAATATTTCTAGAAGTCAACTAGACGAAAAGCGTGTACCATTTGCAAAAGGCTATCAAAAGTGGCTGCAGTTATATTCGAGAAAAGTTCTAGATGCACATCAAATCCATTTACAAAAGTACTTGTAGTCTTTATTTTTGTAATAATTTGTTTAAAACATCATGGAATGAATGTTTAAATGTATATATCGTGCTATTTTTGTAGACCTAAGCTTTATTGAATGACCTTGCAGATGCAAGGATAGCAAAGCCGTTTGCGTCACAGTTCTAGTCACCTAATCTTTTTCCCGCCAAAACGCACATATTATAATCGCAGATATGTCCATAACCGCGAATAACGACATGTTTTTGCAGCTGAAGGATTAGTTTTATTACAAAGATCAAACCCGTTGTGGAATGTTAGCTTAGTAACGGTTGGGTTACGGCTGTTCAAAACACCGCACGCCAAGAAGAACAACTGGGGTGCTGTTTGATTATCCACTGACAGCAGTCTTTAATCACAAAACTAATCTTCTTTATCGGCCACTAGTTCAAACTCGGAGTATTACAATTAGAAGAAAGTTGGTCTATTTGAATATGTGATAGCATCGAAATAATCCCCTAAACTGAGTTGTCAAATCAACTTTTATAGAGATTATGCCACCTTGGCACCCGTCAAATATGAAGTCAAAATGAGCGTCATCAGAAAACGGTCATTCGGAAGCATTCCAAATGTTTTCGAACGTTTGATCGCGAGTACATTTTCGGAAGCTCTCAAAAGGTTTTCGAACGTTTGATCGGTGATTTGTTTAATCTCTATGGCGTAAATTTAGTGCCTATTCTTAGGACCAAAAAGTGATTTGTCTTGATTAATTTATCCATCGTTAAAACAAGCAAATCATTTTGACACCATTATAACGTTAATTCACTTCTTTGCACATCGTTGGTCGCCGTCTTGTTGAGGTTTTCTCGTGAAAGACGCAACAATGAGAGCTTAAAATGCCTTCCCAAACACTCATATATGGAGAGGTTTTGTTTTAAAATTTGTTCAAAATTGATCGACGTTGATACCGTATACTTTACAAAAACGTTGATAGTTATCTGTTGTGAAAACGATCGATTTAATTGGAATCAATTGTCAGTGTTGTCAAACGACTGGTTTTGTCAAGAATTTGTTGAATGCCTGCGATGGTAAATTCAACCACAGAAGAATTGGCTCCGCATCTCATTTGTTCTGCCATAAGTAAACAGTGAACAAATCAATTTGGACACTGACACCCAAATACTTAGACCTTCAATCAGATTTTAGGACTTAATTTTCCCATTCGGATTTATAAGAAAAACGTTTTTCCTGTCATTGGCTTTCGGACAACGTACTTCGCGCAATATATAAAAAGTTGGCTGCGCTTTCGCTTTTGACACTCGATTCCAACAAAACTGTATTTGCAACGAAGGAAAGCTGTGTTTTCTGAAGGCATCTGGAATGCTTCGAACAAAAGAAACTGTCAAATTTTACCGCTTTAAGATTTCTTGGTAAACTTTTAGTAAATTAAAACAATACAGATATAGTTTTTACCTAGCGGCGTGATTATAGTGGATAGATCGATAGCTACAATGAAGTGCCTTAGCCAACGATTATCTTCCAGCGACTTTATTAAGCAACGAAATATCTCAATTTGTAAACACACGGTAGAAGCAAACATTAAGTGGATTACCATAGTGCGCGTTCATTTACAATTGTTTGAATCCCAAAAAAAATCGTTTTTCTATATATCCGTTTTTATACGCCGCAAAGTTAACTCGAATTCCTGTCTCAAGTCCAGTAGAACCGAACCTCATGCGAGAAGTTAATGGATTTGTTATGGAACAGTCGTTATGCGATTAACACTATGTCAGGGTCATTGTTAGACACTGAGAACTGTGTCATGATATCATCGGCTTTAGAAGTCATGGGCACGCTCTCTGTAAAGATTACAAAGGACTCTTCGATAAGACTTTTAAATGGGATGACTTTGTGGCAGCTCTAGATAGTACATTATAGATAACATAGCACACTTACCATATTTATCACCATCCTCGCCCAAGGCATCTATCTTTTTGTTTGGTAGTACGCGAATATGCCTCGCGCTATTCCTCGAGTAAAGCTGAGTCACTCTTTTGAATGGCAAACTACGTGTGTCACTTGTGCGTTTTGCTTTGTTGAAAATTGGATCCAAAAACTTCCTCAATTTCTAGAAATTGAGATTAATTCCCGTGAGTTGAAATGCAAATCTTACCGGCACATTGAGTCGTAATAATCCCATAGAGAGATTTTTCTGAGTTGCTATATAGAGTCTTATTGTTACTGACCTGTTCATCTGTTTCTTTGGCCAGTGTATTCCAAGTCAGAATACTGTTTAGTAAGAAAACAGACTGTCATTATAATAGTTAACCTATATACTAACACTGTATAGCAAGAAACGGTTGGCGGTCTTCAACAAGGTGAAATAATCTTTTCTAATAGTAACAAGTTAGCAATAGAACGATTCAAAGTGGCTATTGATGATTAAGAACGCCGGACCATACCTGAGTATAATAATCCTTGATATCCACACGGCTGTCATGGCGAGCTCCATTGAGTACTGAGTGTGATCCAAACTACTCTTCTGGTCTTATATCATGCGTCATTTAAACGATCTCCCACACTCTCCCCGCGTCGCGCGCAGCGTGAGACGAGAGGTGACAAATCGATGAACACAAGAGACAAGGAAGTGTTATCGGAAATGTACTACATAACCCGATCCGAGACGGGACAAACTGAGTGGAGCCACCAGTTAAAATCGACGGGATTCTGGTTTTAAGGCCGAGCCGATGGGAGAACCAATGAGGACGTCCATTAGCATGTAGGGCTAGTCCAATGGGAACCTCCAGAGGTGTGTCTAAGTCGAGTAAAACAATTGACTGCAAATGTAATTAAGATGGTTATCAATATCTTTATCACCCGCCGTGGCGGGGTTGACCTTTTTGAGGTGTCAATTTGCGCTTTTCACGCCTTAATTAAATTGGAAAAAAGTGAAATCGCTCGTCTCGGGAATGGTTGATGGCGGGGATTGGGTGCTAGGGCTCAGACAATACCGCACTAAGAAGCTTAGCTTTTCGGTCGTTAAAACGTGCTTTTCAACGTGCTGGGATTGTATTGTTAGTAGACCGCAGTTGGGATGCCATCAGTCGCGCCTATACTATCCCGAGTGAGGTGTACAAGACGGTAATTGGTCTGTACCAAACAATATGTCAATATAAATCCTCGATAGATAATTACTCAGGATCCGGGAAAACAATTCCATAAAACTTCGATTAAGCGGATGTTTAGAAAATCTGATAACACGGGAGATTGTATCATTCTCAAGAGGTGAGGGGACTTGTTTGTGTTCGCTGACTCGTTCACCAATTAAGGATTTGTTGTTTTTCTGAATGAGCGCTTTTCATATCTTTATTGGACATCGGGGAAGAATTCGGCCTTTGATTTTTGTTTGGTCACGGACCATTGTCTCTTTTATTTGCAAATTTTCTGCCACATTTGTTATTGATCGGCTTTCATTTTACCGAAACACTTTATTGATGAAGTAATTCTGTCAGCTAACTTTCCGTCTCAAATGAGCCCAACGAACCAACAAAGCCATTTTAAATAGAAGAATAATACCCGTCAGTAAATAAAGAATAGAACTTGTGATTAATCTGTGTCAACACGCTACAATTATAAGCCAAGAATAAAAAAAATTCTCACTGTTTTTTATTTGTCCAATAAAATGTTCCGATCAGTGAAGCATCGGATAAGTGTACCATGTGGTCGTCTGCCACTGAATGTGTCAGCATCTTAGAGCAGGTGCTGGAAAAACCTTTGGTCGCCGAGCGATCTGCGTCAGATACATACTAAGATTCACAAGAACTTCAGGAATTTCTATTTTCTGTAACATGCTGACATTGTGAGCTATTCTAAGCCATATATCATCGATTTTGATCAGCATTTCAAACAACATAGGCGTTTATGACGAACAACGCCTACGCAAGTGTGACACAACAAACTGACGTTCCGGAGAAAAAAGCTTCCTATCATCATAACTTTCAGGTGCCGAAATATTCCAACCTTGCAGTTTGAACAAGGAAATCCCTTTGCTAAATCTTCGTAAATATCCTTTTCTTGCGCATCCTTGTATTCAGAGTTTTCCGACGTCATTTTGTCACGATTTGGTGCGGTAAAACAGCCCTCACATCGGAAGTATTGCCGCTAAAAGAAGTGTGTTTTTTGTTTCCATACCTGTAAATGCGGCAGATTATGCTGAGCTACAAAGGCGTTGTACCGGCTGATAGGTACAATACATATAAGTCAATACATAACACCACGACTAAGATACCGATTCCATTAAACAAAGCGACGGCATGCCAGTGGTATTACAGTAACATTGCAAAGTTTACATCATAGACAGTAAACGACGCAATCAACGGCCAGTACAAAGTAAAACAAACAATTCAAAGAAAGGAGAAGTATGAGAAGTATTTGAACCTTTTGCGGGCTATTGTAATCTCCTTATTATGGTTGATGATCACTTGCAGTTGCCGAAAACATACTTTCTACCATAATCTAGACTTTCAGAGACTTTGCACATGAAGTGATTTTATCGAGACATGGAAAAACGTTCCTTGGTTGTAGGACTAAGTTTCTAACGATATTCTAGCTTCTCAGTAAGGAGCTGGAATTGAATTTTGCCCGTTTTGTCCGTTTTCCTAATCGGAAACTTTTGATATTTGCGCCTTAGAAATGTAACTTACTTTTTTTACATCTGTTTTGAGCGGATAGTGATAGATGATGTTAATGAATCGGATCTCAGTAGTTTGAAATTATTTTATATAGATAAATGGCTTATTTTTTTTTTGGAAAATCATTTGTAATTTTAAGTTAGTTGCAGAAAATGAATCAATGAAATAAAATAGAAAAAATGTTGGATGTGTTGACATAGTTGATTTATGACGCTTTTCAATAAGTCTTTATTTAACATTACGAAAAATATCCAATTTTTGTACATATACACCAAAGTCCTTAAAGGTCCAGCAAATATAGTTTATTCTACTCTTCATTTACCATAGCGCTGTATCATTTACGCGATGCTAATCGGGACCATTTAGGTATCTTCTGGCATCACTTATTATCACTCGACCTCGTGGCGCTGGTATCACTGTCCTGTCGACAAACCCTTGAGACAAACATGAATCTATATTGACTTCAAGAAAACATAAAACATTAGCTCTAGACAAGACGTTTCAACACCATCCAGCAACAAATCTCCAATCGATCGATCAGATTGGATGGCGAGGTAAATTTCCCGAGTGTTCGTGGACGGTTTCCGGTTTGAGTGATATGATCTACGTAGCTACCGGTTCTGGGCGTAATAGCTGTACATATACAGCGGTTAGATTACTATTGATTATCTGATAGACTTGTTTAATTTTATGAAGCGATTACCCTTTTCCCGTGTTTTGAAACGCAACTCTTGAATTACAAATTGGAGATTGTTGCGTATTTTAATGCAAAGTTTGATTAAAAGTGAAGTTTCGTAAAAATACGTTATTGATAACTTTTGGAAATGACAAAGGAACTTATTATTTTTTATTAGTTGTGGTTTTGCATATAAATGTATATTTTATATTCATTATTTTTAAGTTTTCCTGATTAAGTTCAGCAATATTTCTTTTCTAAAGTAATAGATTCTGAAATCTATACAAGTGTTCCATATGGCGCACATTATCAGGGTTTCTCAAATAGTGATTGTATGTCACAGTATATGGCTTTGATAATTTCAAAGTGGCTATTAAACAGCCATCCACTGCTTCTTTTGATTTTCCCTTATTGGAATGTATCAGTGACAGACTTCTGACTACATCGTTTGGTACTGTTCAAGACTTTAAACAAATTTGATAGCTATATATCTGATAGAGATAATCAATAACATTAATATAACTTTAATGTATGTAATGAGGTGATTAAAACCGTGAAACAAAATCAGTCTCAAGCCAAATGGACGCAAGAACAATAAAAGGGTACTAAGGTCTTCTACTAGTATGATATCTGTTTCACGGGTTTTCAGACTCACGTCATTAAAGTTTTCAACAATAAGGTCATAAAAACATTTATGAAGCAACTGAAACTTTACTGATTGTGTTTGCAACACATATATAGTATGCAGATAACCCTAAATTTCATATTTTTATAGATTCATGCTTGATAACTGCTAATAATAACAAGAAAAATATATTCAGTAATTGTAGCTTTAATAAGTTTGTAATTATTATTTTTAACCATGTATTTATCATTTTGTTAAAGTAAATTATCGGTATATGAGTGCTTCGCAAATTGTAGCTCTCACCCTTAGGCTACAAACAGTGGTTTGTCTTTCCCCTGTCGACGTTAGTGCTTCCGGTGTCATCAGGGTTTTTTTTTTCTGTCTCCAGCCAGCCTTGAGTCTGTTCCTCCTTTGTTGTTATTTGGAGCTTGTATCGATGTCATTAACAGCATTGATAGTCAGGCCTTGGAAGACATCTGGCGCCACGTTAAACACTTGGAAAGCTATTGGTGTGGATTACAGGTGTATAGCCTGCATTCTTGTGTGGAAAATTCGACGGTGCTCAAACTTGGGATTTCTTGCAAGAATACTGTGAAAATTGGAAAGGATTTCACTGCTTGAAACGTGAATTTGAGTAATTCAAGTAGTGCTCTTTAAAAAGCATTATTGTGAACGAAAATGTTCTTATTTCGAATTGGGGAATTCTTGTGTGGAAACGGTAAAGCGTGAGCTCGCTGAAGGAGCTTACTGTTTATCTACTGGTGCACCTAGGATCTCATGATAAATCCGTTCGCTCGAGTGATATATCATTATAAGACGGTACAGGGGTAGGAAGAACACGAACAGAGTGCCAGAGAATACAAAGTCAACTGCTTCTCGCACTACTGGAGTATTCTACCCACTTCAATGTTCTATATAACTTGACAAAAGTCAATAAAATGGTTTTTATTCCTTTTAGAAAATGCAAACTGCAGTATGCATGCTTTAACGACCATAAACTAAACTCGATGACCAATATGAGATCGCGTTATTTTATCACAATCTTGTAAAGAAGTCTTGTATTTCATCATATAGTCTTCCATATTAACGACCTTGTCAAATAGAAATCAGTTGTCAGTACTGAAGGTTTTAAGCCTCTTGGGAAAAGCCATTATGGACAATTCACACACAATCGAATCACCTACTGAAAGATAACAAGTAAAGTAAAGCAACTTACATTATGGAAGAAAAACAACTGTATCCGATAATAGAGTGAAATAAAAAAAAAACTTGGGAAATAAATATTACACTAATACACCTTAGTACACTCTAATTGCATTGTTATCTTTTGTTTCTATTTGACTATCACACTTAAATTGTCAAATATAGTTTCACGGGTTTTATGATCTCACTCTAGTATAGCAAACAAGTACTATTTCACTGTTATTGTTAAAGACTCTATAAGCAATTATACAGCTTGGATTGACTCCAGGCTGGCTTTCTAGATAACTAGAGTTCAGTGTTTTTTGTCTTTCATTCGAAGCCAAGTGGACCGTTTACATGTGGAGGCGTATATGTCATCTTATCATAAATCACCGACTTTTAATGAAAGAAGTCGTCTTCAATTTGTTTATGATATATAAGGCTCTCGTATACCGTTTATTATTAAGTAGGCATCTCGTTATATTCATTGACAAAGCATGGATCTATGTTTTATATGATAGACGCGTACAATGTTAGAGTAAAGTAAAAAAGTCCGTGAAATAGATATTATACTAA